TGATGGTGATCGTGATGATGATGATGATGATGATGATGATGATGATGCTGATGATGATAATGATGATGATGATGGTGATCGTGATGATCATGATGGTGGTGGTGACGAAGATGGTGGTGAAGATGGTGATGATGATGATGATGATGATGGTTGCGATGATGACAATCATCATCGTTATGATGATGATGATGATGATGACGATAATGATGACCACGATGACGATGACGCTGACATGACGGTGACGACGATCATGATGATGGTGACGATGATGCTGATCATGATCATGATGATGATGATGGTGGTGATGGTGATGGAGACGGTGATAGTGATAACGATGATGATGATGATGATGATGATGATGATGATGACGATCACGATCACGATGACGACGATGACCATGACGATGACGATGACGATGACGATGACGATGACGATGACGATGACGATGACGATGACGATGACGATGACGACGACGACGATGACGACGATGATGACGATGATGACGATGATGACGATGATGATGATGCTGGTTGACGATAAGGATGATAATGATGCTCAGTAGGAGAAGCAAGAGGAGCAGGAGGATGTACACAGGACCAGCAAGTGGAGCAACAGCAAGATCATGAGAGCAGGAGGAGGAAGGCGAGGAAAAGGAACAGGATGCGGCAGGAGGATCACAAGCTGCATGAGACAACTCCTGCTCGTGAGAAAATGTCTCGGGACGAATGCCCCGGAGAATGTCAAATTAGCAGGGCTGTCCCGAGATGAGAACGGCGTTGTGCATGATGCTTGCGTTTCATGTTGCTAGAGCTTTCTGTCACTTATCAACAAGAATCAACTCCCATGAATACGCTTCCCAGGGCTCGCACTGAAGTATGGCTGCGGTATTCTTTCAGCCTCGCCTCACATGTCAAGCTATTTGGCAAGGCCTTGGCAAGGCGTGTTAGTCGTGCCGAACTGACAGCCTCCAACTGCGAGACTTTCTGTTCAACAGCCTCCACCTTTCGGTCAGCCTCAGCTGAGCGGTCGGACTTGCGTTTCGGACATCATCTCTGACTGCTTGCTAGGGCCGAGGCCCGCTGGGGCGAGTTGGCTCGCATGCCAGATGTGGCTGCAGAAACTCGCAGGTTGCGCACAAAATCGGTTTGCAGAGCCACAGCACAATCTGCCTTTACAGAAGCATCAACAAGCCCGCACGGCCTTTCAAGGTCTCGAGCTGCTGCTCGAGCAACGCGAAGCGAGACTGCCACGAACAGACTGCACATGCCAAGCTTGGGGCTTCAAGCTTGCAGCTTCGAGCCTCGAGCTGGGCTCCACCATGCGCCTGCATCACCGTAACCGCCTCCATGGGTCCTCCCAGGCGGAAGGCGCAACGCGTTCGTCCCTCCAAGCAGCTGCGAGTTCGAGGCCGCACTGCACCTGCAGTGGCCAGGGCGTCCACTGCGGCGGACAGCTCCGACCGCAGAGCACTGGTCTGGGCAGCGGATGAAACGCGGAGGGCCTGCAGCGGGATGAAACAAACCGTGAAAGAGGGTGCGCCGTGCGGTAGCGCATTTCAACTTGCACGCAGGATACCGAGGAAGATACGGCTGCAAGTCAACTCCCTGCTGCACAAGCACACGACTTGCCCAATTTGTGCCTCCAACGAATCCTCAATGGCTGCGCAGCGACGAGCTGAAGCTCGTGTTGCCTCCGCATAGGTCTGTGGGACGCAAAAGAACCGAAAACCCTGATGTAGTCATCAGCAAACCCCAACAGGCACAGGTACACACACCTACCCCTTGGAAGCTCATGCCAGATTGCGTCTGGGGGAATTCTGCATGCGACATGCATTATACTTATTATAGGACCACCACTATCTCTGAGTACTCTGAAACTCCTTCCTCACTGTTGCTAGCTTAGGGAGAACTCGAGCAGAGAGTGACTGGCAGCTCCTGCTCCAGTCTAGCATCGACTTCGGAACGCAAGTCCTGCGACGGACCAAGTGCTGGGGAATGCTTCGTACCGCGAAAGCGAGAGCCTAAACTTGCCATAATGCATGGGCAGAGGTCCAAAACTGTCAAAAGACAGAGAGGAAGACGGCGAGAGACAGAGAGAGAGAGAGAGAGAGCGAACGATCGGATCCTTCACTGCCGTCTGCAAGGCATCTTGCTGCGAAGTCGCAGCTTTGGCCTGCCAAACATCTGCGGGATGGACCAAGATAATGGGGAGAGACGCGGGCCATACTAAGGGCGATGTGTCCGATGAGACAGCAGGGAGTCTTACTGCATGCTTCTAGTGGTGCAGCTGGGTTGGAAGCGCAGGAAAATCAAGTTGTCAGGCACATCTGCAAAGACTGGCAGTTCGAGATCGGCTATTTTTGCCGTCTGCTGGCTTCATGGCCGTGCCTCATGGTGAGGGTGAAACTAGCATCAGATCTACCCTCAGGAATCCTGAGTTGCCACAGATGCCTGTCATGGGTACGTAGCGATGTCATGGGGCATCGGGAAGCTGCAAACTCGCATCGAGCTATGCTTTGCACCTGGAAAGACAGCAGCCTCTCCGCATGCTCATAGGAACACACCTGGCGGCAGACGAAAGCCTGCCCAGCATTACTCCGACAGCCAAAGCCTGCCGTGGCCCTGCCGAGGCCACGGCGGCAAGAGTCGTGGCTCCACGAAAATGGGGGTAAACCTGATCTGCGCGAAGGGCTCCAAGGTCCAACTTTCTCAAAGCGAGCCGAGGAACTATGCGATGCCCCTGCGAGTCAGCGTAGACGAGCAGGCGCAGGCCCTGCTTCGATGTGGCCTCCACCTGGCATGAGAAGAGAACTCTCAAACCGCTGCCAGTAGCTCTCAGAAGCTGATAGTGGTAAGAGAGCCCCGCACCAGCTCCGGAAGCGCCGCCAAGAGCGGCCATGTTGCAGGATCCTTGGCCAAGAGCCGACCCGCATGCCAGCAAAGATGCCAACAGGGTCTCATCGCAATGTGCACAGGCTCTTCGGTGCAAACGCGCTTTTCTTGCAGCACAGGGCCAGTCGTTCGTTGCCAGCCCAGGCACAGTTCTAATTGTCGCTTTAGTAATGCGGATGTTAGGTCGGATATGCTTCGCATGCTAAGCTACTGCTTCGTCATGCTGTAACATGTCGGGAGGACTCTGATTGAGTTTAGCATCATTGAATACCGGTCTAGATTCTCAAGTCTTGCCGTTTTGATGGACTTGGCCGGGTCTCGGTAGCGCCAAACTACTGTAAGCATCGGCGCAATTGTCCAACTAATTGTATACGATATGCAATGTGATCAGCTCGTCTAAATCACACCCCACATCTGTGGTCTAGAAAAGGGTGCTGACGAGGAGTGCTGAGGCACGGGGAGCAGCACTAGATCACTGCCCAAACGTGCTGAGCAGTCTTACAGATGGCTGACACGGAGGTCCCAAGTCTGCCTGACGACGGACGAAACTTGTGTCGACAGACTGCGCTGACATTCGATTTGGAGACTCCGGCCTGCTTCAAGAGGTACGAAGGCTGCTCTCTGCCAAAGCACCTGTTTAAAATTTCGCCCATGGACCGCTTCCACCTCAACGGTCTCGTTGAGGAGTTTCGTCGCTCCAAGATGATATCGACAAGCTGCTCCCCTTCTCCAGCTGCCAACCAAGCAATGGCCAACAGTAGCATTCTAGCTTCGAGACACCCTTTGCTGGAAAGCTTTGGAAATCTCAACTTCCTGGAAAAGCTGGGAAGGCCGCAGAGAACACAAACGGCGACTGGGCAGTCGGGCAACTGCATGAATTTGCTGTTCGCGATGCTTCTGGAAAACAACCGCGCAGAGATCAGAGAGTGAGAAAGGGAACCAATGACTTGACCTAAGCCTTCTGTCTGGGCACTGGATATCGGATACGCTTTGCACTTAAACGAAGATCGTGTGATTGCCTCTGGATCGAGCTGAGGTTGCGCATCCCTACTGTACCTGAATTCGAAGCGCAGCACCAAGGGCACGTGGTGTACTCCTCAGTGCCAGCTCCACGCGTCCCTGTCTAACCAGGGAGAAAAGTCCTCGCGACAGCAAACGGGATGCTTAACATCTGGCCCCCTATTTGCGCAGAAGCAAGCGCCCAGCAACCCTTCCTGTTCGATTTCGGGCTTCTGCACCCTGACCAGTGTCACCTCGGTGCAGCCTTTCGGAGGCTCCTCAGAAGGCGGCAGAAGCTACGTATAGACGCACACTTGCTGCGGTGCTTAGTGCGGTGCAGTCTGTGCCTCCTGGGTCTGCTTTGTGAGCGCTTTGAGGGCGTCATCCAGTGTGGCCGTGTCCGAAAGAGGCGATGCCCCCAGGAGCAGCTGCTGCTCCTTCATTGGGATCTTCAGGAGGTCCTCCACCTTGCTGCGGAGCCTCAACAGGAAGGCTAGGTCGGCTACGTCAGGCCAGGCAGTGCATGGACATGCATGGACATGCATGGCTGCTCAAGAATGCACACCGAGGCACTCGAAGACCGAAATGCTGGCTTTCACATCGAGAAGCCCGAGCAAGCCGCTGAGGCCATTGATGGCCAGGTGAACATACCTGCTCTCTGAGTAGTCCTGCGCGGCCATGGCTGCGCCGTTCAGGCGAGAAGCACACGAGATGTGGGGCTTTCTTAGCGCCCAGACGAGTCTGTTGCCCGGTGCTTTGCCCAGCTTCAAATGGCACCCCAACGTCGAAAAGGCGCACAAACGCAGCTACTCCTCTCAAGCCCAAAGCCTGCGAGCACCTTCAATGAGCCAGGGTCTTCCTTCGTCTTTGCAAACCAGCTGGGCGCCCCGCTGCATGGACAAGACCCAACCGTGCCGCGTCCATTGGGGCGAATGGTTGCAGGGGCCCCCAATCCTATCACGGGACGCCCCGAGCGAACACACGAGTCTCTGGCTGCCACGCCTCCATAGGAGAGTAGACCTCGCCGTACAACACGACTTTAAGCTGTTGACATGCTACTTGAAGGCGCGTGCAGATGCAACCCCAGCAGCTGAAGGGGGCAGCGGCAACGGGCATCGAGGTGGTAGCCCGGGTCCAGACCAGCCTGCCAAATTCGCAGAGCCGACAGCCCAGACGAATTTAAGCTCTGGAGCTGTAGAAGGAGCTTACCTCAAGGATCCATCAAAGCCACAACACTGTCATAATCGCACGAAAGATTCCCTCCCATCTAAGTGCAAGGATCTTGGGGGTCTACAGTTTCTTCCACGTCTCAGTCATGGTCTGGGTCTCCAGCAGTTTCATTGCTGGGCTTGGGTCCTTGGGTTTAGGTCGGGAGCTATGAAAGGCCTCAACCCCAAGGCCCCAAGACCTCAAGTCCTTAAACCCAGAACCCCACAACCACAAATGCTAAACCCTACAACCAGACACCTGAAAACCCAAAAAGACCAAGCCCCAAAACCGGAATGCCAAAACCCAAACCTAGGCCCTAAACCCTAAAACTCTAAACCCTAAACCCGGAAACCGCAACCCTGAAACGCCCTGAAAACCATAACCCGTAAAAACCAAACGTCCTAAAAATCCTAAACCTTGAAACCGCACGCAAAACTTCGGAACCCCCAAACCCTAAACCCTAGAACCGCAATAAACCAACACCCTAAACTCTAAAACCCAAAAAACAAACTGAACGCTACGACGCTAAACTCGTAACCCTGGAATCCACAACCCGAAACTCTTACTGACCCGGAAAACCCATCAAGAAAGGCGTAAAGCCTAAGACTCTGAACAAGCACCGAGAATCCTAGAACCCCCCAGAACAAAACCAAACTCGAAAACCCGAAACCGTGAATCCCCGGAACCTAAACACACTAGATCAGAAGCAATAAATCTTAAACACATCGAAAAGCCTAACATCTTGAAGCATCAAACCCTAAGCCCTAAACCCTTTGCCCGGGAAGAAAAATGACCCAAACCCTTAATAAAAAAAAACACTCTGAACCCCAGAACCGCACAAAGCCGCAGAACCCGCAGCTCCCAAACCCTAAAAGCACCAGGTCCTACTGGTAGCACCGAAAATTCAGCAATCTCAACCCTAGGACCCCAAACCAAAAAAGCAAACCCGACATTCCCCCAGAAACCATGAAACTAACATCTTAAGATCCTTCACCTCAAAACTCTAAAGAGATAGCCAAAAATAGTCCTGCACCTTCAGACTCTAAGCCTAAGACCTGAACCCGAAACCCCATACTCTAGCACAGGGCCACCACCGCCCCGGGAGGGTCTGGAGCCCAGGGCCCGAGCGAAGCTGCTCAAAACGAGGCTCCTGCAGGATCCCGGGCAGGGCCTCCACGGCTCTGAGATTTACGGCTTTACGGTTTGGGTTTATGGGTTTTGGTTTAGGGCGTTGTTTTTGTTTAGCGCCTGTTTCTGCCTAGCAGCTAAGCGCAGTTCAAGGTTTACGGTTTGGGGCTTCAAGCTTTAGGAGTTTAGCGTTTTGGAAGGATTTTCTTGACTTGTTCCCGACAGCATGGCAGGCGTGCTAAGCTACCTCCGTACACTTCTCAGTTTTGGTGCACATCCTGGCGATCTGGCACTCCTTCTTCGATCTTAGCATTCCCTGGTGTCCCCGTTGGCCGTTTCCAGAGGTTTCAAGTCATGGCTGGGGATTAAGCTGCAAGATTCCGGTTTGGGTTGAGGGTCTCAGGAAAAACGGCTTCATGGGCAAAAGAAGAGGAACCCTGGCTACAGACGTCTAGGCTCCGCACCATAACATGGACGTCCAGAACGTAGCGGAGCAAGTGACCCAGAAAAGCATCGTCATGCCTCACTCAACCGCCGATGGCCGTAGAAGCTCTGACTTTCTGCATCCTGGAGCTCTCTTAGATATCGTTTTCTGATACTCAAACTACCAATATTCGCATACTTGTAACAGCTAATGCTGAGTTAGCCTTGGCCGGCTCTGCATAGCTGAAACATCCAGTGCTTTGCTCACAGGTGGGAGTTTATGACAGCTTCAAACTCACAGCCCTTGTGCCTGCAAAGCTGGAGAAACAAGTCCTCGAGGTTCAGGAGAAACTCGACCAGGGGTCGGCTCAGTACAATGCCACCTTGCTTCAGCATCGTCCCTTCAACCTACACTCCACAGAACCACGGCACACGTGGCATGGGACATGTTGCCTCCTCCACCTGCATGAAGCTCCCCACACTGCTTGGCAAACTTTGCCTCGGCACAGATCAGAGCCCTTACAAAAGCTGTCACCTTTGAGACAAGATGGGCTCGCGGCCATATGGCACAGGAGAGTGATTGACGGGGCACCGACGTACACAAAACGCCGGGCCTGGACTTGGCTCAGAACAAGCTGCACGGCTGCTTCGCCCCGAGGCGTCCACATCGAAGACCTGCAACTCAGCTGCCAATTGTTCTGGAAAGACCACGGTGTCATCCTCAAGCAGGCAGCAGGATGGGCATCAGCTTTTCCCAGAATAGGAGATACTGCTGCTGTCCGTCAACGCTATACTACACATTCCCACGCTTTCTGCACTGAGAGATCTGCGACTGCTCGCACAATCCTGCCAGCACAGCGCTGCTTCCAAGAAACATCTGAGCTCTGAAGCATGCCAGAGGTGCCACTGGGCTTCCGGGAAGCGCTGCAGAGCCAGCTTCAGGCCCAGGATGGTCTGGAAGGCAAGGTACAGAGATGCCATGAACAAAGCCATGCCATGCCTTTGCGATTCAAACTTTGATCTCAGACGGATGCTTTGCAGCAGACTCCACGCTCCTCATCATCACTGCACGGCCTCGATGCAGTACCGAAGGCATGCGACCAGCTCTGCATCACATGCAAAGCTCTGTGCAGGGATGCAAAGGACGTTTCTTTCTTGCTCGAGAGCTCGAAATCTACACCGACTGTCTTCCGAAGGCACAAGCAGCCCTGACTGCCCTTCACGCTCTGCAAAGTCTGATCTTTGCCGGGGCACCTGCAAGGATTCTATGCCCAGGGACTCGTTGGCACCCAAGGCCTAGGCAGAATCTCGGCTTTCCATGGCGACAGCGAGCAATGTCAGAGCTGATGCGAGAAGCAGTGCTAAGCTCTTCCAGCCAAAGCTGCCTCCGAGCTCCCCGCCCCAGCTACGAAGAGGATCTCCGGCCCTCAGGCATATCCGCATGGCCCGCTGCTCTGAATGGTACTGTTCCCGTATCTGAAGCCTCAAAAGCGCACCCAAGGCAAGCATCTCCGTAGGAGCCGGGCAATCACGTGCCCAGCTTTGCTTTGCCCACAGTACCTTGCCGAAACAGTGACACATCATATCGTGTTGGTATGGCAATGTATGAAGCGGGATGACAATAGATGCGATGAGGCTCTGGCTCGTTGCTGATACTCCTGAAGAGCAGAGGTCACCACCTCGGCTGGCACCCTTCGAGCGCAAGAAGCTCTTGCGTGGCAGCCGGTGCAGTCAATGTTAGAGATCACTTCCGGGCCGCGTGCGACCACGGAAATCGAGGTGAGCCGATCCTGGGCCCAAGTTGACAGGTCTCGCTTGTTGCAAGCTCTGTGCCTCCGTCCCCCATGAAGTTACAAAGCCAAATAGAGTTTCATTGCTCCAGAGGCATGCAGTGCTGCGAAAACCCGAACTTCCCTTCCCGACGCTTAGCGCCACACGGATTCTGCGACAGCAAGGGCAGCGGCAGTACTTCGAACCTGGTCAGCGCTTGCTCTTTTTGTGCTTTGGTTTTAGAGTCTGCAACTGGGCGCCGACTCCGACTGCTGCGAAGACTGCTCTCCGCAAGTTCATCGAATGGTGGCCAAGCCATGGCTGAGCAGCGAGACGAAATGGAAAAAAAAGGATGCATGTCTCTGCTCATGGGTACCAGCACACCTGCCAACTAGATGGCCGTCCCTTCGTATGGACAGCTGGGATTCTGCGCCAGCTGCTTGGATTGCTTGCATGAGCCAGAAAGCACCTTTTATCCACATGTACATGCATGGAGGCTCCCAGCCAGCATCAGCCAGCCAGCCCGCCAGAGACAGCAAGACACGGAGACAGAGAGCGGCAGAGAGCGGGAGAAAGCGGGAGGGAGTGGAAACAGGAATTGTGCTCGTGAAAGGTCCACGACGTTTCGTGTGCCGAAAGGCTTTAAGTCATAAAGCATTGGAAGATTCATCATAGTAGGCTCCTTACTTACATCACTTCCTGAGAGAAGCTGACTCGACCCTGAACTCACCCAATCAGCCGATGGAGCGCCAGGCGTTGCAGAGAGAGACAATGCATATGTTAAGTACCACAAACTCCAAATCTGAGAAGCGGTGACATACAAACGGAGAGAGACAAAGAAAAGAAACGACTCAACAAAACGCACTAGTGACATCAGAAATCTAGTCCGTGACCTGCTTCGTCAATGGCTCTATCTTCAATATTTTCATTTAACATGTATAAACAAAATGGGAGAACTTTAGATCACTTAGATCGTAGACATACTTCTTGAGAAAGTGCTGCAGTTCCATCCGGCGCGACCACTTCTGCGTGTTCTATAATCGACTCTGCAAGCTGTATCCGGTAAGAACGAGATGTGTCTCATCGGGTCCTCATTTACCGATCTTCACACATGTCCCAGCAATCTGGCCCCGCGCTCCTGATGGCAGTTGCTAAATGATGCTAGCTATTTCCTGTTGTCACCCCTTGCCGGGAAAGCTGCAGGACCAAAACTCCACTGGCTAAAGTTATGCCAGTACCGCTTCGAAGTCAATCGTTGCCCCGAGGAGCAGAAGAACGGTCCTCTTAACTCCCCAATGCATAATCTGCAGCATCAGCGCCTGGCATCCGTCAATAGCGGTCTCAAGCTCGTTGCGCCAAGTTCGCGGGGCCTGGCTCTTCTCCAGAAACCTAACCTGACAAAAGACCTCCTCAACTTCAAAAGTGCTATGGCAGCACACGGCTTTGGCACGTTTGGTCCACCGGAAGCCACATGAAGCCACAACTGATCTGCCTGCTTCGCCTGCCGCTGCAGATCGCGCACAGACGACCGTAGCTCCTGCGTCCAAGGAAAATGGGGTCGCAGTCTCGGAATTATGCAGCGGATGCCCTTCTCATCTGAAGCAGTTCGCATCCTCTTACTCTCGACTGTGATCAGCGTTTGATCCTCGATGCTGGAGCGCAGCGACGAGATCTCAGTCTCACCCACCTCAGAAGGCATGTCGGCCAAAGGTACTCATGCGGCCGGCATGAGAAGCTGTGGAGGTCTAATATCAAAGCAGAGATGAAGGCACAGACTAAGTCCTCTGCATCCAACAAGCCGTGCATGAGGTCCGTGCGACTGCACCAGGCATTTCCGGAACGTGTGCTTCGTTCTTGGCTTGCTGCTGCATGCAAGAAACATGATCCGATTGCACGGAGCAGCAGCAGTGATTTCTTCGACTGTCACGTCTCGAGGGCACTGTTCTCTGGGAACAACTTGCCTCAAGTCCAACCTTGTGCTCGACCTGTCCCCGGCACCTCACCGAACCATGTGCAAGACGCTGCTGATGCTTCCAGGGATCATCCAAAGAATTCACAGTAGCTTTACAAAGCAAACTTCAAGGACTACGTTCGCAACACTTGCACATCCGATGTAGTGTGGAGTTCTATCCTTAGCGCTCACCACTCGGAGGCGGATGCAAAAATCAAACAATCCTGAATTCGACAACTGAGTTCTTCAACTGGCGGAAAGGTTACTTTGCTGATGCATTAACTGGCACTTTTCTCACACTTCTCTCGAAACCCCCAGAAGAGGACACAATGAAAGAGCTCTCCATGACCAGGAAGGAAACTGCATGCACCCCAGTCGAAATCATGCTCGACATCTATCAGCACACCCGAGAGCCGGCACCATACGTTGGAGTCGACGGCCGCAGAGTCGTGACCGGCGAGTCCAGCCGAGAGAGGCTCAGGCTGCCCCGTGCCTGGGACAGAAAGCTGGCGCGAGCATGCACGAGCCTGCGTTCTCTGACGGAACCTCCAGCTCTGTGGCTCTTGACCCTGTAGGCGGCCTCTGGTCCCAGCAGGGAGACCGTTGAAGGGCTGCGGGAGCCGCTGGACCTGAAGTGTTGCGGCATCGCGATGACTTGGAGAGGTGATGCTTGGCGGATTGTGTGCCTGCGATTCGGGCCGAATCTCGCCAAAGTTACACTTGCCGGGTTCAGATGGTCACGATCTCCCCTCTACGAATCAAGGTACATTGGTCTGCTGCCTGGGAACAAGGACTGCTCTCAAGGGCGCCCCTCTCAGAGACCACGTGAGCGTTCAGCAAGCAACCACGACGGAACCGGCTGCACTGGGACTCACACGGTTGTCGATGTTTTGTCGTCGGACTTGGGCTTACCATGTCGGTCCTCATTGCGCCTGCCGTGCAGGTTTCAACATCTCACGGAATGACTGCCTGCCGTTCCAGGGTGGAATTACCCCGAGCCATTTCGGCTCGCTCTCCTTTTCTGCAGGTGAGGAAAAGGGTTGGGCCACGCGACAACCAAAAGGTTGAAATCTTCACACTTGATTCGTTGATTCGGGTGCGCAGCGCACCTCTGGAGCTGGATCGATCTCTATCAGTGCCATCCATCGGCCGACGCATACTGGCAGCTGCGGATTTCACTGTTTTTGAGGACTGCTTAGTAAGAACTCAAGAACACTAGCAAGCTTTGCAGGAAGGTGATCGGCTCAAACTTCTTGGCTAGCTTCTGATCTCAAGCCTCCGCGGCCGCACGATATTGGCTGTAGGCAATGCGAAGTGCAAAAACCAGAAGACGTCCAAATCGCCGCAAGCCTGACCTTGCTGCTACGATGTGACTCCCACTGCCTCCTACTAGCCTCTCGTGGTGCTGCACGAGGCCAATTACGACTTAAATGCTCTGGAAAGCTTCCGTGCGCGGACATGTCTCCGCAATGACAGCGGGTGCCTGTTGGAGTCCCTGCATCACCTGCTTTTTGCCGTCTGTCAGCGAGCCGCCAGGTAGCCGCAGCCTGCAATTTTGCCAGAGCTGCTCCTGTAGTGGCCAGCTGCACCGCGTCAGGAATCAAAGACCTCGGGTGCTGAAAAACCTGGCTAGGATGCAAGCGAAGACTGCAGCATGACCACATTTGGGGGCTCCGACTCGGATCACCTGATCAATTGTCTGGCGACAAATCGGACCTCGGCAAGCTTGCAAAGGCACCAACCCTACGTAGGCCGCTTGAAAGCAGCGTTGCGCTTTCGCATTCTGGGTGGCATGGAAGTCCACGAGGCCGAGGAGTACATACTTGAAGATTTGCGCGCGCACACATGCACACACTGCGTCGTGCGTTTATTCACAGAAAAGTACTAAGTAATTGACACTAAAGTGGGAGCTTTGCATGAGATGATGGGTCGAGGTGATCCAGTGTCCCTGAACGTAACAACCCAAGTCATGAGATGATGTGAAACCATGTGAATGAATGTGAAAGTGACCTTCGGAATGTATCAACTCATTGGGCAACCGAGCTCTGCACACTTGCGGCCTCGCGCCTGCCCGCATGGATGCGAAGTGCTCTCAGATGCCCCACTGACGGCATTTGGTGCTGTGCTCCCTTCCCACCCCAAAGCTGCCTTCAAGATCGTCGCACAGCTCATGCAAACTGCCCGGTGGCCGCACGGAGTGATGACTGCATCCTGGTGCGCTCTCACCATGCGACGAACTTCAGAATGCATAGCAGTCATTGGGAGCACATGTTCAAAGACCCGAAGAGGGAATAGGGTCTAAGACTAGGGCTTGCGGTTTACGTATTGGGGTCAGGCTTTAATGTTCAGGTGAGAGTTGATGGCTCAAGCGTGAGGGTTGAACTTGTGGGTTTAGGTGAGTTTTGTGTGATTCAGGGTGGCCTCGGAGAGGTTACAAGGGCCTAGGGTTTCAGCATCTTGTACCAAACGGGAGATCTCTAGGGCTTCAGGATGTCATCATAAGTGGAGCCCTCACACCCCGGTAAAACGGCAAGAAAGGATGAACCATCCATATCCACCCCTAGGAATCCTTTAAAAGAGCCCGTGGGATGGCTCATTCGTTCTTAACCACCAGCACGATGAGGTCAGCAATCACGGCAAGAGTCTTACAGCAAACAACCTCGGCATTCACTGTAAAAGGTTTCAGGATGAAAACTTGGGGGTCTCGTCAACACCCCGATCCTCGCCTCTACCGCAAAGCATACTCGGCAATAACAGGGTAACAATTGAAACCATATATTGTGGGAAGTCACCAGGTGCAGCGAACGATCAGAGTCCTCAGTGGGGAGAGGAAATTTTGCCGAGAGATGCGGAACTCAAGAAACCCAAAAGCCAAACACCAGCAACCCTCGGGAAACCATATCCCTGACTAGGCGGACCTTTTCTCTGTCTGCTCTAGCCACAATGTGGCAAAGCTCAGATACTAGATGGCCACGCAGCACTATGTCGCAGAGCAGTGTGTGTGTGTGTGTGTGTGTGTGTCGAACAGCAGCCTGTGTCACCATGTTGCCCAGCCGGCGCTCATCATTGCAGCCAAGGACAACCGCACGGCAGTGAACAACGACATGAACGCCTGCTTACAACCAGAGGATCAGCGGCGCATGAAGCAGAGATGTCAGCAGGAAATTGACGAAGTCAGTAACGTTCAAGTTGCGGTCTGCGCATGGCCCCGCCACCGCACTCGTGACACTTCGCATGTGTTGACAATAGCATCGGCAGTCCCGGTGGTTCCGGTGCTGATACAGCCCGCGAAGTGCAGTGCACTCAGAAAAGCCGTTGTAAATCCAAAAGGATCGGGCTGCCGAGTCCAGTGGTTGCAGAATCAAAAACGGAACTTGATGTCGTCTTGCGAAGAACGTGGCTGCGCTAAGCACGGCGCGCCCACCACCTGACAAACGCTGGGAGCCACAGCCAGCAATCTGCATTCCATGCCCAGCACCCACCAATTGCAACGCAGCTTTGGTTCTGAAGACTCCGCGGGCGCTGTACGCAGCGAACAAGAACTGCTTCTGCAATGCCAGCTTCAGGACTGTGCCTTCTTCCGGCGCTTCGCCATCGTTCAAATGGAAAAGCATGACTCGAATCGCTTCTCGGCCCAGGACTGACATAGGATCAACCTGCGCTGCAACCACTCCTTCTGCTGGTCGCGCTCCCCTGGGACGGATCTCTTCGTCATCAGTCTCAGAATCAATGTCTGAATCATCGTCGCACTCAGAACCGCAATCGCCTGCAATGCCTGCAGTGCTGAGGGCTGCCATGGCAAGGGTTGTACTGCGTGACCGCATAAACGCCTGTATCTTGCGGGCCGCCGCAGCCCGCTTGAAGGGAATCGCCAAGTGGTGCAAGACGTCCCTGACGGGAACACCTCGAAGTCGGGCCTCCTCAATCATGGGTGGCAGCCGGCACCACCACGGCTGCAGCGTTGAAATGCACGCGCTCGTGGAGCGGAATTCGTAACATTCCCTCAGCACCCGCACTGCCGCATCAATGCTGAACTTGACAGCCGCGGCAGCGTAGCTGGCGCAGGCAGCCCACCCCAGGGCTTCCACCAGCATGGGAAAGCACGAAGAGGCAGCCGAATCACTCTTTAGGGCCAGGTCTCAACGTTTCGCAGCACGAGCAGAACCTTGCTTTCAAAGGGACCGGAGAGCTGCAGCCGGACCGGCCCCCAACCTCTAGCTTGAGGGCCCAAAGTGCAACTTCAAGCCACCAAATCGAGGTTCCGAACCCCAAGCACTCATGAGCATCCCTACACCAAGGCCACGTGCGCAATCCAGGAACCAACAACCCCAAAGCCCAAACCCTCAAAGCTAGAGTCGACAACGGCCACTCAACCTCCAAGCATGCTGGAGTAAAACACAAACCCAAAGTTCCCACTTAGCTGACCGTCCACCTCACACGTCATCTGCAAAACCCTAGGCTTCTGCACATCAACCTTGAAGCTTGAAGCCGAACACTCAGCCTGCGTCCCTTAACCTGAGGCGTGAAACTCTCAAATCTGAGCCCGGCCCCACGCCCTCAGTCCCAAAGCCTATACCAGCAATCCCCTAGCCGCCACTCCCTAAACAGTGAACCTTAGCAGCATACCCTAAACCCAAACCTAAATCTCAAACTCAGAGGCCCTTTCCCCAAACACTTCGCCTCCAACTCTAAGTCTTCATCCCAACGCCCCATAGCTAAAGACGAATATTGAACCAACAACAAGCAGTTGCTGTGATGATAGAGTGTACCAACGTTGATGGGCTGCTTCTACTGCAAATGGCCGTAATAGTCCTTTCTGCGCTCCATGCAGGCGCAGCAACGTTCCTGCCGTGGCGAGAAAGGACTCGGTTTTTCGAAGGAGCCGTCGGTACAAACTCAGCCAGCTGTCCTCACCGGCTACCAGCTGTGCCTGTTCAGCAAGGCCTCAGGATCTCTCTAGAGCAATGCTGTGAGCTGCCATGGTTCTGAGCACCTGGCCAGCATCACTCAAGAGCCCGCTTTTGTCATCCTGCAGGCTGTTGCTGGTCATGCGCAAAAGCAAACGAAATCCGCCGAGACGGCCGTCTCAGAGTTTGACGTCCCCTTGAAAATTCGGGAGGCGAACCAGGCTCCAGAAATGCGTCGTTTCAAAAGCCATGATCCGCCTCGAGGTCGAGAAACTCTGACAGCCGCTGGCCTGGGCTCGAGATCGAGATCTGGGTGACTGGAAAGCCGAACTAAGTTCTGTCCAAAAGTGCACGGCGCAGAGGGGACCAAAATTATCATAATCCATGCTTCGTACTGCAGGGAAGCCTCGCTGCGCAAGAGTCCTTCTACCAGCACGTCGCCAAGTCAAGCAGTTACTGTGATTGTGACGAACCCACGAGGTCTTGAAAAACTGTTCGCTCTTCATGCCAATGTCTGTCATGGCCTGAGCCAATCTGTCTTCGATTCGAGGCAGTCTGCACAGCTTGGGGGGGGCATGCTCAGCCCGAATCCGGAATATCCCTGTGTGATCCAGCGCGTGCAATGCCCCTGGAAACTGCTCAGCTTCCAGAGCACAGCACAGCTGCGAAGACAGCTGAAACCTTTAGTTCAACACATAGACATAGACCTCTTCGTGAGCCCCGGACCCAGCATCAGGCTCAAAATGGAGCACGCCAGGTTGATGCTGTATGGGACCTGTGAAGCCATGTTTGGGGAGGGCCGCATCCTTCTCATGGAAGATGGCTTTGCTTCTGCAACCCATGCAAGAAGGATCATGCAAGCTGCCCACGAGAGCTTACCGGTAAGCGTCTGCAGGTCAGAGCTTCTCGACTAGATGTTCCGGCAATGCACACGGCGGAAGCAGCCGTGCAGACTGAAGGTCTTGGGATCCGGGCAAAGAGGAACAAGAGCACCAGCCATCCCGGCAGGGTGTCCGTGCCAAGCCCCGCGTGGGTGAGAAGCGCCTTCCGAAAGTCTCTGGGGCGCTTCGAAAGCTGCGGAGAGTTTAGAGTTTAGGGTTAAACGCTTAGAAGGCGAAGCGAGCTGCTCAAAGGCCTCACAGAGGAAGTTCACCAAGCAAGCGATGAGCAAGCCGGTTGTGACTACACCATGGACCTCCAAGGCAGGAAAGGCACTTCCTTGCAGCAGGTAGCCTCATGCCTGCAGCTATTGAGGCCTCCTAGAAAAAAACCTGACGAGCCGAACGGAACGGAAATCGTTCACAACTCCAAACAACTGGTCCGGGCTATGTAGCCAAACCTTTTACCATGCTTTCGACAAACGGGTACTGGACAGACTTCTCAATCACGGAGGTGTAGATGCAAGTGCACATATGATGTGACCTTCCTCCATATCCGGTTGGTTCCCTATCCTTTGTACCAGTAGTTTTGGGTTTGTATATTTTGGGTGTCTTGCTGATCACATGCCCGGACCGCCGTCTTGCCAGAACCTGCCTGGATCTTTGGCAGCTGAAGCAACAGTGCCCCAACGAGGCCATAGCTTGCCAGGACGGCCAGGACCTGGGCTTCGAGCTGCAGTCAAGGCTGCCAGGGCTCGAGGCTCCCGATGCGGCATCTCAGGCTCCAGGCGCTGTTGGCGATCGGAACAATGATGCTCCTCCTGATGTCGTACAATGCCATGCTGGCCACCTCGTTGCGCACAGGGCACTGTTTGGGCAGTCCGAACCAGCTTCCGTCGCACCACGTAGGGCGATGGCTGAGACCAAGATCTCCACAGCACAAGCAACGATGGCAGTGTCACGTCGCTTTAGCAAGTCCTCTGCAGAAGCAGAAGCGCGGCTTGCTTTCGACGAGGTCCCAAGTAACTGCCAGAGTCCCTCGGCGCCTCGCGCAGCTCTTCCAACTCCTCGTCGTCGTGTCGTACCAGCACCAGACTGCAGAAGTTTTACTGGGCCGCCGGTCCGTCAAGGGAAAGAACTGAAATGCTTGCCGCTTCACCATCTCATTGAAAGATCTCCGCTGATGTCCACATGCTTGAAGCGATCGAAGCGGGAGCATCATGAAACCGAGGGATGGAGGATTCAGATCGGAGGCTCGTAGCTTGATACAGTGAATGTTGGTAATGGGGCACTGCAGGTTCCAAGTAGTCAAGCAGAAAGCTTCGGGGGCTCGTAAAGTCGTGAAGCAAGATGTGGGGAGAGGGCTCCTCCAAGCCTGGGCTCCCAAGCGCGAACCGCGAAAGACCATGCAGCTCTGACGAGACGCCCGGCCTGGCCGTCGCTTCGGAAAGCCAGTCCAGGCAGTGGTGTGCCTTCGGCGCCTGCCCAGGTCATTGCGAGCTCTCGGCCACAGCTTTCCGATGACAAAAACTCCGCCTCTCATGGCAAGACAAGACAACCAACAAGGCAAAAGTGGGCTGCATGACACTTACATGCACGAATCCGTCGAATCGTTGGAGATGTAACTGGAGGGAGTCTTAAGAGTCTTGCGGAGTCTTCATAGGAAGTTCCTAGCCACATTGATGGAGTGCCTGTGGCGCAAGAGCACGCACGAGATACCCTCCCTTCTGCAAGCCCGGCCATCTTGACGCCAAAGGCAGAGCAGGACAATTCGGCCTGCCAGCCCATGACATGGGATGAACTGCAACTCGCTCCCACAAGTCGGCTGGCAGCCGATCTTGCCTCTCAACGCATCAGCTTCCTGGATGTGACCGTCCGGGCATCGTCCAGAGGCTTCACGGAGTTGAACAATCTCGACATGGGAGGTTGGGTGTGTTTGGGTGGTGTGTGTGTGTGGGTGGGTGCGTGTGTCTACAGGTTAGCCGGCCTTTTGGGTTCGCGTCTATGCCAGGAACCTTGAGATCAGGCAGCGAAGCATTCAAAGATCTGAATCTTTTGAGACTTGGTGCTGCATCGCTCCATCAGACGCAGCAACTAGCTTCCCTCGATCTCATCTTGGCGAGCTCGCATACGGTCCGATAGGCTTCTGCTCAGAGTGTACCTGCGTTTCGGGAACCATGCTCGATGCTAGGATTGACACGTGTATCCTCCACATCTGGTGCTGAAAGATGATGCTGTAAATCCGTTTGTGGGCTTGCGTTTGCAAATCATTCATGGCGATTTGCACTGGTGCGCTCACCACAAGCCCATAGGTGATTCGGTAGCCTATGGTAAGACTTACCAGCAAGCATTACTGCCCTGGTGCTCGTTTTCGCCTCCGGCAACCTTTGATGCAGTTCTGTCGGGTGGCTTCTTTAGATGCAAACAGTTGTCCAGCTGTTTTGAGTGCATCACACACTCATTGCGTCAGTTCCGCGACACCATGCTTGTCCAAGCCGGTTACCCCGATGACCATGTTCATCGGAAACTCAAAGCCTTGGTTAAAGCCGAGTTCCACGACTTGCGCATCTTTCATGCCTGCCTCAGTTACCCTGTACAACCATTGAAGCCCAACTGCCGCTCCTTTACAGAAGCGGGGCAGATGTGGCCGATCGGTCGGACACACCTTCCGTCCCTTTAATATCTTGTCTGGAATGCCACAGGACCCACGCTGATTAGCAAGCATGCTGGAAAATGGTGCATTGCTGCATTTGCCACTGCTTGTCTTGTCTGCAGCCTGCCTCAGAGTCTGTTGTCATGTTGTGGCTGATGCAACCAACTGTTTACGTCCACGCCTCAGGGTTTGGTTTTTTACATGCTCCTGTTCCCTTGCCCCCTCCTCCCACCTCCGTTCTTGTTTCCTTTCACTGCTGTGTCTCTGTTGGACTGCCCACTGCTTCCCTCCAAGGTTTTCCGTGACATGACAACATTGTTTTGCTTGAGCTCAGTTTGCGATCATGTTGAAAGGCTAAGGTTCATGACAACACGAGTTCGATGCATCGGGTTGGCACCTCGGGGAGGGACTCTTGTTGACACCCCACACTCATGTTCCGTTCATTCTCTCTTGGGGTGGACTTCACCCTCCAGTGAAGTCTGAGTCCGGGTGGACATCACACGTACAGACCGAGGAGGCGTGTGATGGGTCCAGGGGTCTGCGTGCTTTACTCTCGACCTTATCATCTGAGATCCCCGGCCCACGGTCACCCCCACATCAGATCCCCGCCCCACGCGGCATACAGCTTTTGAATACATGTTGGCATTCCCGCACAAAGCCTTTCGTCTGGAAGTAACACAGACTCAGAATCAGAACATGCCGGCAGACAATCGACCACCAACTTAGAAGCAGGCTCCAACGTTCTGAGAAAACTCCTAGCAAATCATGTGCTGGAAAAACTTAGATTACTCTCAGGACAAACGCAGCCCACAAAAAGACAATAGTCCCAAGACAGACCATTGAGAGAAAAAGGTCAAGTATCCCACAAGCAATACTTTGTTGAGCTTGCTTGAAGTAGCATTAAGGATCCTGTCAATAGTCGATTCCTGATTGCACATCACGAGCCACCTCGAAAGCCTGCGTGAAGCATCCCAGGCAGAAATCGCTGACCCCGCACTCTCGACATGCAGAACCATAGGGTGGCCGGAGCTGCGAACATGTTTACACGTCTTGACCTCGACTTGTTCCGTCTGCGCGTTTGCGAGCGAATCCGTGGCCGAGTCTCAGCGCCTGACAAGGCCTTTTAACGAGATTTGAGACTTCAGAAGCAAGGCCATGCGAAGCCAAGCCTCAGCAAAAGCTCCACAAGGCTCTTTCGACTTCTGCGTCACTAATGGAGAATCAGACCTTTGTGCAGTAAAGAATGGACTGGGTCGTCGGAGCCATGTCCTAGTCTGAAAAGTGCAAAAAAGCGAGATTCAAAAGAGCTAATCTAAATGGAAGCGAAATAGCCGCGGATGGTCTTCCGAACTTGGATCCTGCATTGCTGCCAGCACTGTGCTTGGGGTGAGGGCACAAGCTGCACGCAATCGGGGTAGTTGGGCAGGCAATGCCCACTTCCGTAGCTCACCATCAGGTGGCCTCCTCACTTGTATGCTTGCTGCTTCGCCTGCTGAGAAAAGGAACAAGTGCTCCCCTCCAGCGTTGAGAAGGACGTCGAAGCCAACGAGACCCGACAGTGGACGAGCCACAGACTTTCGGCTCGGAAAGTGCAGGATACTACTGTTCTTTCGAACGTAGAAACCCTCACCTGCGGCCAAAGCAAAACCGGAGATTCCCGACAGCTCCTTGAATGGAGTCATGGCTCCGTCTGAGTTGGGATTGCAGCTGTAGAGCCTGCCACTTGCTCCCAGCACTGCAGGCCAACAGCCAAATTCAGAGCACAATGTGGAAACATCCTGCACTTTCTCATCAAGAGGCAAAGCTGGACAATCGGTACTTTCCACACCACCGCCGTCTTGCCCGCGTGTCAACTGAAAGACACCATCGTCGCTGGCCAGCCAGACTTGGCCACCTTGCAAGCACGTCATCGAACGGGCGCTGAAGAAGGCATGCGATGCCCAGGTGACGTTCACCTCGGTGACACCGACCTCCGAACCTGCGTCAGCCTCAACTGCCACAGCTTGCAAAGCTCCCACCGTCAGCCACGCCCAGGGCAGGCAAGCCATGATGTGGCTCTTGAGCAAGAGTCTCTTCATGAAAATCGTTGTCCGCACAGACTTCTTCTCGCTCTCGAAGAGGAGCTGGCGAAGCAACGGCTCTGGAGACTCCCGCGCCTGCGCCTGCAGCCCAGGCTCACTCTCGGCTTTCCTGCTTCCATATCCCTTCCCGGCTAAGCGCCGTAGCTTCTCCTCCCGTGGCGGTGGCAAGCCCTTCTGCTTCGGCAGGCTTGGGAAAGATCGGACAAGAAAAAAGGCCAAGTAGCCATGGAGAGATCCGTGCAACACATAGCCTGCAAGCAGCAACATCTCATCACTCAAAAAGACACCACTGGTCACCATGGCCGGCCCAAGTAACATTAGCAGCTTGAGAATCCAGTGTTTCAGTTTGTGCGCTCGATCGAGGCAGTCTTCGTGTTTCTCTTCTCGGTTCTTGATCTCAGGCTTCGATTGCTCCGACTGCACTGTCAGGAGCCGTGAGAGTCGCCCCGCGAAAGCAAGTCCCGCTATCGTCATTGTGGTATACATTGCCAGTCGGTCCCGAAGTGAACGGTCCATATGACGTCCAATCAGGAAGTATGCGAAGCTTTGGCACAGCGCGAAAACTCCCAGCATCATAGAATCATGGCTCGCTAGAGAACAGGGCTCCCAAAGCAAATTGTATCTGCCGATGACCTCGTAAAAACTGCTCTCGTGTGTGTCTGCCATCTCTTCGTCGCACTGCTCACTCGTGGGGCTGACTCCCCAGAAGCGGGTGTTGGTCCCGCCCTTGTGGAGGTGATCCAACTTGGTCGGCTCATTGAAGTCTCTCATCATGCCATCGAAGCGCTCGTAGAAGTCGTCAGGGTCTGCATCCTTCTGCGTGGCTGCTGTCGCGCGCCTCTGACGCTCCTTTTTCTCTGCAACACGGCTTGATTCCATGGCGAAAGGCACACGAAATGCCTCACCCTTGCCTTCCCATTCGAGAAGCTGGGAGATGTAGTCGAAGTTGTACGCATCGTGAACGTCCGGCACGAACTTGAGCAGAAACTTTTTACTCTCAGCATATGCGCTTGAAACCCCAATGAAGCAGAAGAGGATGGAACAGCCGAAATACAACATGCTGACAATCAGGGATCCATAGTATGCATACACCAACGATTCCGGCGCTTCGCTGTCCAGCTCACCCTCGCAGAGGAATGCCGTCGAGATTCCGAACAGTAGCGTGTTGAGCACGCCTGTGTTTTGTAGCTTCCCCACGAAGATGGTCAAAAAGTCACGCATCTCCTCGCGAACAGATGCAATCCAGGTAATATGGTAGTTTTTCTCCTGGTACATCTGATTCTGCTGCAGCGCAATGGAATCTGCAAAAGTGTCACGGTTGTATGCCAGGCTCGAGATGGCCAAAGATAGGGCATTGAGGGCATTGCCGTAGCTGTACCACACCATCACCCTGTGCCTCGACTCCCAAACCGGAGTCGAAAAATGCCCCTCGGACTCTCGAGAAAAACTGGCTTCAATGTAGTACCCCTACAACAAGAACCAGGAGGTCCTAGCAGGAAAACGCTCTCGACTCTAGACTCAACCTCTCACTCCCGCAATGCCGTCTAGACACAGTGCGTTTCGCCCCCCCCCCTTTCCTTGTACCCCAAGACTCACCTGCTGATATGCAAGCCTCACTGAATCCAAAAGCGGTTCAAGACCGATGATCTGTCAGACGAAGCTCCGTTCCGCAAGCTGCTATCCAGGAACCCCGATTGAAGGGCAGACCACCGCGAAGCCACGAAACCGAATCCTTCTGGTTCCAGTTCAGTCGCTGAGATGGCGGCAGGATCAGCGAAAGCTCGTCCTTCGATCAAGCATCGAGGCTTTGTGGGCGGAGGGAGAGCCCACATCGCTGGCCGTGCAGTGGTACATGCAGTTCCGATGCACGCAGAGCAGACGGAAGCCGTTCACTTCTCGCCCCCTTCGGGATTCAATTCCCCCACATGAATCCCAATGACAAAATGTTCTCAGAAACTGCTTCCCATCCTTTGTCGCTTGGCGCCGAGACTTCTGCGCGGCCTGCCCGA